CGTTGATACTATCATCCTGCATTTTCAAAGTTTGTCTTTCCTATAAAATAATACGATGTAATTAAATATAGTAAATTATGGAATGCTCCAATCATCTTTAAAAATGGTAGCAAATTGCGTCAAGTCTAATGTTTTAGTCATCTTGAAATCATCTCTTTGTTGCGACGACTTTCTCCTTGACAACCACCAATAGTGGAAACAGATATAATGCTAGTGGAATATCTTTGTAATAATTAATAGTAGCTTAGTTTCATGGTACATAATGTAGATTATGTAAATAATATACGAACCTTAATTTTGTCAATGTTTCAACTAGTGTTTATTTGTAAATAATTTTAAATGCTAAAGTTGCTGCTTTACCAACTGTATCTTTATCTGTCCAAAAGTTTGTTATTAATTGTGATATTTGTGGAGCTCATTAGATTTTCTTAGAAGACTTGAAAAGCTGGGTTTTCCTTTTCAGTATGATGCAGAAGTGGTATCACACTGACCATGCATGTACAAATAATAAGTGCTCATTAAACTCGCTGATTTTGTGAGTTAATTCTTTGATGCTCCAGAGATGATTACCTTTTTCAGGCATGAAATAGACATTATACATGTTTTTTCTCCCATGATACAAAAGCATAACAGCTATATCAGTGTCATCAGCTGCAATTATAACTTCACTATTTAATGCTAGTTGTAAAATGGTTGAAACAATTTTTGTATCAGCATCACCTGGGCACATATGTACTTTGTGCCCTGCAGCCATAAGATGTTTTGCTAGCAGTTTAATGAACTCTACTTTGTTTTGTTGGGATAATAAAAAGCGCTCCCGGCCAAACAGCAGTGTATTATCATCATGCACATAGATCAGATAAGAATTGTTTCCTACTTGTCTTCTTGCTTTCTTCTTGTCTTTAGCATGCTCATTTGATTTAGTTGAAAAAGTTTCATATCCACCAAACAAGACACTTACTACACCATAATTGCATTTGGTGTATGTTAAGTACAACTTTACAAAAAATTGCAGAAATTTAATCTTTTTACCCATCTTACTCGATTTATCAAAACTCCCCCACCAATTACAAATCTAACAAATTTTGCTTATATTTCATATACTTTGTATTGAGCCACTTTAGGTAAAAGTAATTTCTGCATGATGATATATCTGGTTTCCTCGTCAATCCGTTTTTAAATAACGCAAGAGGTGTGGTAGTCACCTCATAACTAAAATAGCGTTCAACATTGTCATTTCTTAGAGCAATTGCAGCAAGTCTTGTGAACAGAATGGTTGGGTGAAAATGCATAGAGCTGCCTTCCTTCAGTTTTATTATATTATGTAATGCATCCAGTGGTTTTATTTGGTCTTGACATTTGATTTTAGCTTTAGTGATAATTAAGTTGTCTAACTTGTTATGGATCATCAATCCAATTTTTTCAGATGTTTCACAATTTACATAATCATTTCCAATGGAGACAAAACCTGTAGATAGAGAATGCAAATTTGAGTCTTGATATATAAACGGATTTTGTCTCCTTAACCATTTTACAAATTTTTCAGTCTAAAAATTCCCTTGCACATCTTGCTAACCTCATTTCTTCATGTTGTTCACTTGTTTCTATATCACATCCTGTTAGAGTTGTCATGGTTTCATGGAATTTAAACTAAGTACCCAATGAGTTCTGACACTTTCTGTTATTCTACGTCCTCAAGTTAAGCCACTATAATTTGAGGACGTGGACTAACATTTTTACAGAAGGCATTAATGTTTGTTCTATTACCAAATCAGACCAAAGCCCAACTCAATAATGGCTGGTTCTTCTTATAGCATGTGATTCATTATAAAAGCAGTCACAAACCAAAAACTTTTAAGACATCATTGTTTCGTTTCTTGAACATGAATTTTGGCGCTCTTGGCATAGTTTATGTGCCCAGTTACAGCAAATAAATTTAGCATAAACTTTGTTTTATGTAAGTGAAGAGACCAATTTGATGTTCTCTCTGCAATAATGAAGTTTTTTGCAATTGTAATATATTTCATATATTGAAGCCAGAGTTCTGCATTTCTAGATTGTGATTTCAGAGGTTTGATGAAACTGTCTATTTTACTTGAAACAGTGATAAATTGTTCTGCTTCTACAAACTTTTCAAATTAGACTTCAGTTAAAGTACTTTTCATTGCATAAAATACTAAAACATATAACTTTTAACTATTATACTATTATTTAAAATTGTTTACTAAATCATTTAATAAAAATATAAACCTTTAAAACATGCATGATTAACTTAGTATGTAATATCAAATGTTTTAATGCCCATGGGTACTGTAAAAATTCATTAAATCTTTAAAATGTTGCTTTAAAGTAACAAGTATATATTATTAACTTTTCATTTTCAACCCATAGTTTTTATACGAATATGAGCCAGTATATAATTATCTTTCAAACGATATATAAAAAGTATATTTTTGGAAAAAAAAAATTTTGACCATAATTATTACCCCTTTTTAATTAGGCCTAAAAATATACCTTCTGATGCTCCAATTGATGGGGCTTTTTTTTTTTTTTGGTGAAGTATCTTATGTTTATGTGTACTAGTCAAAGTTTTAGCTTTATAGTATTTTATTCTAGATTAGGGTTATTTTTTTAGTTAATTCAGCAAACTAAAAGAATGGTAAAACAAAAAGATGCTTTAAAAAATAACTTATTTGCCTATATTTAGTAACAATTCAACACAACATTTTTAAACATGAGGTTAGGTAAAGCTCATTCAAACAATATGTATGGCACTCTCTTCAGGTTTTCTTACTTTTTTTCTTTACCATTTAGTTCTGAAGCTTCTACCTATCTACATGCTGATACCAAAATCGCCGTAATCTTCAATAACAAACGTTTTTTGATACGTTTTCTAATCTGACCTTATAACTTTTACCCATCTTTATGTCTTCCTTTTATATACAACCTATAATTTTTTAAGTCTTCAGTTAAAGCTAGGAAATTGTTTTCTAGCTTTTTAACTCTATTCTCTATTTTTAAGTAACTCATAACTTAACACTGCTTGCGACCTTGTTGGAAGTAAATAAGTGTTTAAAAAATATATAAATACATGTCAGTATTTAATAAATAGTAAATGTAAGTTTAAGATATATAAAGTATTATATATTTTTTTCTAGCTCCGGCTATCAACCCCTGCTAAATCTTATAATTTTGCCAGATTTGCAAAAAGTCTCATGTTTAGCCAGGCCAGGACCCCGGTCACTTCCGACCAGTAATGTACAATTATCTTTTAGAAATAAAGAAAAAATTTTGAAACTAAAAGTATTTTTAGACTTTTTAATTTCTTAACTTTAAAAAAAAATTAAAAAATTTGTAAAAAAACAGTTATTTTATATATTTTTGAAAAGATTTTCCTTTCTCATTTTTTTTTTTCGATCTCATTCTTTAATGATGTACTAGTTAATTGGCACCTGTTATTACCAGTTCATTGGAAAAACACAACAAATTTTTTGAATTGTTAAACCAACAAGATCCCCCAATTCAATACACATCGAAAATAGAAAACGAAAGGAAGGAATTAAACTTTTTAGATATAACAGTAATAAATACAAATAATTTCCACTACGATTTCAAAATCCATCGAAAATCCGCAATTACGAATATACAAATAAAACCGAATTCAAACATTAATCCTGCAATAACATCTGGAGTCTTTAAAGGATTTATATCAAGAGCCTCAAAAATTTGTTTCCCAAAATACCTTCAATATGAAATACAATTTACTATAAATATGTTTGTCGATAATGGTCATAAGAGATCCGAGTTAGAGCTTATAACAAAAAATTATCTTAAAATTAAAAACAATCCTGTTAGTGTAGTTGCAGATAAAACAAAAAATGGTTACATAACAAAACTCCCATGGATTCCAAAAATAGGATCAAAATAAAGGAATGAGCTCAAGAGATATGGCGTTAAAGTTATATTTACAACACTGCCAATTTTAAAAACAATTTTATGTAATAAATCCAAATTATTACCAACCCGGTTTAGTATAAGCTTACGTATTCATGCGGTAGCGTTTATATTGGAAAAACAAAAAGAAGTACTGAGCATCAGGTAAACAGCATGAAAGACATTAAATGAATTGGCATGCTTCCGGAGTGATAAATTGGCATGTTTCCGGAGCCGCAGAACACTGCAAGGACTGCTATGGTATATTTGATTAGATGAAAAGAGAGTCCCTTAAGATTAATTAGGCCCAAACCAATTACGAGATAAGATACTTCCTACCGCTTTTGAAAAAGGACAACGGTGTTAAAATAGCGTCAAATTGCTGAAGACCGCTTTTTAATGAAATCATCGAAATTTCAAAATAGTTTTCACGACAAAATAGTTACGTCGCTCATCTTTATAATGTCTTCTTAACGGTTTTTGACATAAGTTTTTTGTGAGATTTTTATTTTATTTTGTTTTACGTCTGACGACGGTCTGAGCTAATCAGACTGAAATATATCACATAAATTAGTACTTAGCTGTATTTTATGTTTTATATATTAAATAAGGATAAACTTTAAATTAATACAAATGATAATAAAAAAACAATATAAAGTTATTTATAGAATATTTAAATTTTTTATATTTAAAAAAAAAGAAATTTTGTCTATTTGAAATTCTTAGGATATCTTAAAGATTTTGGTATAAACGTTGATAAAGTTCTGAAAACATGAAATTGCTTTATAATGTAAACAATATGTCAAATGAAACTTTTTAAAAATATCTAGAATTTAAAGACCTTTTCCCTATAAATTTTAACAAATTTTTCTGTAAGAGTAATCAAAGGTTTTGATGTCAAGATTCTTGCTAAAATCATAATTGAAAATAGTTACACGTTTATAATTTTATTTTTATTTAAAAAATAATTGATATATACTTCATTTACTACAATTTTTAATACGTTTTTCACTGTTTCAGTTATAATACTATACTTTTATTTGCTATAATTATGATGTTATGTTTAGTAGAAAAAATGGTCGAACATTTAACACCAGAACAATTAGCTCGAACTGGATGGAAATTGCATTTCAATACTGACACTATTAAAGGACGAAGAAATGTAAGTTTTAATTATTTTTTAAATAGTGTTCTTGTTGATTGATTGTTGATTAAATATTATAATAATTAAGTTTTTTTTTTTAGTTAGTTATCGCAAACTTAGGCTTGTACTTCAGTGGATTTCTTCTATATAAACTTCTTAAAAAAAAGGAAACACCAAAAATATCTAATCACTAATGTGTAAACAAAAAGTGTAATGACATGAAATTGAAATAAAGATATTTTATGGTTAAAATTATTTTTATTGAAGTAATCTGGTGTTATATAATTGTTTTATTATTAACCTATAGTAATCCAGTGTTCTGTAGTTGCTCTATAGTCGTTTAGTGCTTGCTTCGTAAGCAATAGGTACAGAGACTCTGTTCTATGTCGTGCCTTGATAGCACCGTGCTTATATTCAAAAAAAAAAAATTTAATTGAATTAATGAAAAAATGGAAAAATATAAAAGATATTTATAAATAAAGTGAAATAAAAACTACTATAAAGAGCAAAACTGGGGAGAATAAAATAAAATAAAAAACTGGATAGAATAAAATAGATAATACAATGGAGCGGTAATTAATGTTTGTTTTGTTCTTAATTAGCTAATTGAATAAAATTTTTTTGAAAGTATTTTTCAGAGAATCTTTTTGTAAATAATTTGATAATATTTTAATTTTTTTTTTTTTTTTTTTTTTTGATAAACTTTTGCTAACGCGATCATTGTTTTTTTGTTTTTTAAAAAATGGGCATAAAAATTTTGGGAGTGAAATTTGCTACCAATTTTACTAAAAAACCAGGAGGCTGAATAAGTGCGAAGCAGTTGCAAAGGCTGTGATAAGTACCCAAAATACTTAACGTAGGTGCGAAGCAGTTTTAAATACTGGCTTAAGTCAAAGTATTTTTTAAAAATGGCCAAAGTTAACCGAGCACTTGCATAAGAGTGAATTGGATTCGCATTTATGCAGATTCGATGTTATAAAATTCACACTTAATCAGTCGCCTCTAAAACTTTAATCGCCCTAAAAAATTAAAACTTATCCTTATATAACTTTTTACTATGTTCAAGAAGCTTTTTTAAAAACTAAGTATGCAATTCCCGGAAATACTGGGTGAAAAGCGGGATTTTTAAAAGTGTAATTTTTTTTTTTTTTTTTACCAAGGTACTCAAAAAAGTCGGTTTAAAAAAAAACGATTTTATCACAGAGCACAGCGGAAGATCAATTTTCTAAAACAATCTTATAAATATCTGTATGTAAATTTAAAACGAATTGTTAAATAAATATCTGTATGTAAATTTAAAACGAATTAGTTTTGATTTATAATTTTAAGTATTTAGTGTAACGAGGGGCAAAATGAGACACTTAATCGCTAATATATCTAATACGGCCCATCTAACAACTTTTAAAAAAATAAATTGATACTTTTCAATTCTTCTACGATCCTACTTAAAGCCTAAAAAGTATGAGTTGCAAAACTGCAGTAGTTTGGTCACCAGAGATCATTTATTGACAGCACCTATCCTGTCTCATTTTGCCCCGCATACCGGGGCAAAATGAGACAGATTTTTTTTTTTAGTAATTTAAATAAAAAAAGTTAAAAAAAAACATATCTTTAAGAGGATTAGCAAGAAATACATTTTATAATATATTACAGCTATAATCAAACTGTCACTAGTCACATAAATCACATATTGCTTAACCAGTATTTTGAAACAAACAACAGTCCGAATGAGCCCAGGTTGTGCATTTTGAAAATTGACTCCACTTATATATATATATATATATATATATATATATATATATATATATATATATATATATATATATATATATATATATATATATATATATATATATATATATATATATATATATATATATCCACTACAAGAACTAATAAAACCATACATGCATATATTAAACTTATGTATTTAAAGCACTCATAACATTCCATGTATTTTGTTTATAGGTACTTCAATAACCTATGTTATAATCTACTCACTATATATTTTATATACTACTTACTTTATTAAATTACAATACAATAAGATTATAAAATACAAACATAGTAATTATAAACATCAGGCAATTATTTGCTTCAATTTGATTAAATATTTATTATATTTAAATATAAGTTAACAAAATATAAAACGTAATTCTATATTGGATAACAACTAAACATTTCAATTAAAAAAATAAAAAGTAAGTAAATACAGTATAATAAATTTAAATCTACAGCATGTAAATATTAATATTTGCTTTGGTTGTTGTTTTAATGTAAAAAATTAAATAAACATAATATTAGATATCGGTAAAAAAAAAAATACAAACAGTATGTCTCGTTTTGCCCCGCATCATGTTGGCATCGAATAGCCTAATTTCCAGACTATTTTATTGAAGAAATAAAATACCAAAGAATGGAAATGAAAGGAAAAGGCCTAGAGATTCCAATAAAAAAAACTTTAAATATAAAAAGCTTTTCCACTCAGTGAGATCAAAAAAAGCTAGGAAAAAATATAATATCAACTCTTAAAAATTCGTAATTTTCGCGAAGCCGAGGGATGAAATGACTCCCCTTTTACTCAACTTTTTTATTTCAAAGTGACTCAATATATTTTTCTTGACACAAAATAGTTTTTGAACACAACTGCACTTTTAAAAATCTTGCAAATAATAATTTGTAGGGCTGGCATTATGTTAAACGCGAACTGTCTTGTATTGCCCCGCTGTCTCATTTTGCCCCGCATTACCCTATATATGTGTGTGTGTGTGTGTGTGTGTGTGTGTGTGTGTGTGTGTGTGTGTGTGAGAGAGAGTATTATTAATGACGTCTTTTGGTAAAAATTAATTTTGATTAATGGCGTCTTTTGGTGAGAAAGCCTGGTTTTCTGTTTTTTCCATTTTGGCCTGTTTTCTTGTTTTTCCATTTCGGCCTGTTTTTTTTAAAAGTCTGACGATGTTTATATATAAAGTGATATATTTTATAGATTTAGGAGGCAATCAATCATTGATTGCCTTGATTGAATTTAAATCAAGATAAAAAAATTTTCAAACAAAATTTACTAATTTTGTTTTAGGTATAATATCAGCTATTACTTAAGATAATTTTAACATCTAATTTTGATATTTTAACATCTAAATTTGAAGTAGAATATTAAAACATGTAAATGTTATGAATTGATTTTTTTTTAATAATTATTATTTTATATATCTAAACTTGAATAGTTAAATTACAGTAATAATTATGAAATTTTATTTTTAAATAAAGTTTTCACTTGTGCGACTAGATTCATAAATTAAATTAAATTATTTTGAAAAGCAATTTTTTTTGTTATGGTGTTAACCTATTTTGCTAATCAGGAGTTTTAATATGAAAACTAAAAAGATTATCATCCTAACCTCATACTGCAATTTTATTTTAGGGTTTAGGTAGTTTTATAGTTTAGGCGGCTTAGATTTTTAAATCAGAGTTAAGTAGCCTCTCCTTTCCTATATGAAACCAGTTTTACAGAATTCTAATGGAAAAACCCTTTCCAACATTAAAGTTTCAACTCTAATGATGAAACTTTACAATGATTTAGGCTCTGTTACACTGGTATAAACCTTTTAGGCAGTCAGGAGTGGAATTTATTAATTTTATTTTTCAGTTAAAATAATTATTTATTTTGAAGTAAATATTTCCGTATGGGAAAGACTAAATACCAATTATCCTGGGAAAAGAGCTATCCATGGAAAAACGCTTCAAATAAGTCTGTTAAAGATGGCTTCTCTAGATTTTTTTCTGTAGACATAAATATTTCAGCTGGTGTAGCCCAGATTAATCTACATTTGAAGTCAAAGAAACATGATCTAGCTGATTTGAAGTCAAAGAAACATGATCTAGCTGATTTTTTATGAAGAAAATGAAAATTCAGCAAGATCATAGTCAAAATTTGTGACAAATTCAGATGGTTTAGCTCTGAAGCAGGTTATTTTTTGAGTGATTTAAAAAAAAAAAATGTAATTTAAACTTCTCCAATAACTAAATAAAAATGCCTTATCGATTTATATTTCTTTTACCATTACACTTAAGCAAAGCGCAACGATAGAAAATTAATGCTTGAAGATATTTAGCATTCCATAATACAGCTAAAAATATTAATAGATTCTGCCGAAAAAATGTTGGACGAAGGAAACAAAATATTAAAAGTTTGTGTTGCAAAAGTGCCAAGGGTTGTATTCCTAGAAGGCCAGCAATAAGTAGAGTTGGGGCAGAAATTTAACAGAAAACGAAGTGCAGAGTGGGATATGGAAATAGGATAGAAAAGAAAAACTAGAATTAAAATAATGAAAAGCTGTTCGCAATTAAAAAAATTTTAAAGATAGAAAAAATATTCTTGTTTTCAATTCTTTCCTTAAAAAAGTTTGAAATAAAAGTTTAAGATATAAAATTTTATAAGTATAAATTATAAAATAAATAAAACCTTAGATAATTATTAAATATAAAGATAAGATTCTTAAATTACAATTAACTATAAGTTATAATATAGGTATTAAGATAAGTTAACCCCTAATTTTATAAGTATAAAGTAAACTCCAGGTTAAATAGAGCATATACGCATCTTGCGATGCGTTTATGTTCTATTAAATTTTATTTATTTTTTGTTTTTTTGAAATTTGATATCGTCAGACATACAACAAAGCATCCTATTTATTTCAGGGCTAGTTTATACTATATATATATATATATATATATATATATATATATATATATATATATATATATATATATATATATATATGTATATATATATAACGTTTTTACTTGTTCATTTATCTTTTTTTTTTAATAATATATTTCAAATTGTGTCACAAAATAACTTGTTTTTCTAAGAAAAATCCTGTTTATTTGGCTTCAACAGTCCTGTTTTTTTTGTTTTTTTTTAAATGCCCCGTTTTTTTACCAATGACCCTGTAGGTACCCTGCATTTAAATACGACTTGTCTATTGCTATTTCGACAGTTATAGATTTAGCATTATTGAGCTATTCAGTGTTTACCAACTTGAATCATGGAACGCTCAAAATAGCATTTTCGAGACTCATTTTGTAGTTTGATTTGAAGAAATCTGCTACCGAAGCCCATCAAACACTTTTAAAAACTTACGCAGTTGCTGCTCCGTTATTATCCAACTCTTGGTTTTGGTTATGATGAAAATTGAAAAAAACTTTGCAACAAATTGCTTTTTTTTTTCTTAGACGACCACGCTAACATG